TTATCTTTAGAAAATTTATTTTTGCAGGAATAATTAATAAAGTCCCTACAATCAATTGTATACAAATTATTCCATTAATTTATTTTTCACCAAAATCACTAATATTACTAATTAAAGTTTTTATTGAATACCATCTGTTTGAGTGAGTTTGATTATGAAATTTAATAAGTTATAGATTTAGAGTGTAAATTTATGTTAATGGGTGGGATAAAATTCAAAGAGTATTTGGTTCTTTCTTTTATTGAATTTATCCTTAACTTAGTTAATTACCAAAATTCTCAACTTTCAAAGAACTCTTCATTTTTATTTTTCATATCACATTGGTTTACCAAAGTTTTCCTTGAGGAACGACCTTGGAATTTCATTCCAAGTTACTACATGATCATTCTCTTACACTTGGGAGCTTCATGAAAATACACCCACTTTTGAAAGCAAGTATAAAAAGAAGCAAAAGACACTAAAGAAGCAATACACCTACCATGATGACAAGATATATGATAAAAAAAAAGTGGAAATAATGTATAAAAAGAAGATTCCCCCTCCACTATCCTCCCAAAAACGTACCTTCAACCCATTTCTCACCTTGAACTTGATCCTCTCAGAGAAATTAGATAATCCCTGATAAATGAATTTCCATGAACTCCGAAAAATGCCCCGTTCAACCCCCTTAGCATCCCACCCATTAGCATGTAATCCATATTTACTCCTACTAACCGCATGCTATAGTAAATCTTGCTCCATAGGAAATCTCCACAACCATTTGCCCACTAAAGCCACATTCTTTTTTAGCAAATTACCCACAGTTAGACCCCTCTTCAACTTAGGTCTAGACACCACCTCCCTATGAAGCACGGACAATTTCGATAAGGTGACGTATCCATGTCGGATACATGTGGAACACTGACACTTTTCTGACACGTCTCTGGTACTCTTTTATCTGTATCTATAATTAAATGATAAAATTTTAATTTTGAGCATGAGTTCAACACTTCTTTAGAACATTTCTACTGCTAAATAATAAACATGTGTTGAAATGTGATTAATAAAGTTTAAAATTTTGTGAACATATAATTACTTACACTAGACATGTTAAAATTGTATTCCAAATATATTAATAAAAATAAAAGATGTATAAATTATTTTTTTTTAAAAAAAAAAGAGCAATTGAGAAAATTAGAGCAATTATTTAAATTAAATGTCATGTAAACATTGTCTACAAACAAAATTTGACAATTATTGACTATTTTGATAATGTTTTAGTCTAAAAATTCATATAGATGACTACATATAAGATTTACTTATCATAAAATACTAAATCTTTTATGAATTGCTTATCATTATCACTATATTTATGATAAATTATATAATATTATATATAAAATATTTTTTTTTTAGCATATCCCCAACATGTCTGTATCCTATTCTTTTGGAAAATGTCGTGTCTGTGTGTCCATGTCGCACCGTATCTGTGTCTCATGCCTGTGTCTATGCTTCTTAGCCACCTTCCATCTAATCAAGTGATCTTTTTTCCTCTCTCCACTTCCTTTCCATAAAAAATCCCTCATTATCCCCTCAACCCTCTCTTGCCACCAAGCTAGGCATTTTGAATAGACATAAAAAATTAATGAGAATACTAGCCAACACAAAAATGTACTAATATTAACTTACCCCCTATAAATAAATGTTTTTTTACACCCATCTATCATTTTCCCAACTTTCTCAACCACAGGATCCCAAAATGTGCTAGATAATGGATTACCGCCTAATGGAAAACCTAAATATCTTAACGGCCATTCACCCACCCTACATCCTAAGTCCCGAGCCATTCTCTCAATCTTTTCTTGAATAGAATTAACCCCACAATTTTAATTTTTCCTTGTTTATTTTAAAACTTGAATCAACTCAAATACATCAACAATATTCTTCAAATTCCTAAGTTTCACCTCATTTCCTGATGAAAAGAAAATTGTGTCATCTGCAAATTGCAAATGGGACACAAAATTTCTTCCCTACCGACCATAAAACCTTCCGCCAAATCACACATCTCTGCTTTTTCGATTAACCTACTTAAGCCATCAACCACTAGAGTTAATAAAAAAGGAGGCAATGAATCACCTTGTCTAATTCCCTTGTATGCTCTAAACTTCCCCTGGGTTTTCCATTCAACATAACTGAAAAATTAGTTGACTCTAGACATCCTTTAATCCATCTCCTCCCTTTATCTCCAAATCCTTTATCTTCCATAACAAAGTCCAAAATATTCAAATCTACATGGTCATATGCTTTTTCAAATTAAATCTTCTACACAATTCATTCCTTTCCCTAAATTATATAATCTTCCACTGCCTCATTAACTACTAAAGCCACATCCAAAATTTCTCTTCTTTAACAAATGCCCCTTGATTCCTATAAATAGTCCCACTCAAACACTCCCTTAACCTACCCGCAAGAACCTTAGCTATAATCTTATACAAATTAGTTACTAAACTTATAGGCCTAAAATCCTTCAACTTCAATGAACTATCTTTCTTCAAGATCAAACAAATAAATGTTGCATTAGTAACTGAATTAACCACCCCATTACGAAAAATTCTTCAAAACCTTTCATCAAATCCTCTTTCAACTCCTCCCAACACACTTGATACACTGCCATAGTAAATTCATCTGGCACTGGAGCTTTATCTCTACTACATCTTTCTTAACTTCCTCAATTTCAAAAGGCTTCTCCAACCACCTAGGCATTCCTTCATTTATAGGATGCCACTCAAGCACACTTAAGGAAGGTCTAAGTCTGTCATCAGCCGAATATAACTTGGCAAAGAAATCAATCATCTCTTTTTCAATCAACTTCTCATCCTCAATAATCCTCTCATCATCTGTTTCAAGTTTTTGTATAGTTTTCCTCAACCTATTTTCATTGGCCACCTTATGAAAAAATTTGGAATTATTATCACCTTAATTAACCCACTTGACCCTAGACTTCTACCCCATACTTATTTCTTCTTTAAAAACCACCTTCTCAAGTTCATTCCTCAAATCTCTCCTTTCCTTTCTCAATTCATCAACCACAACTCCTTTTTCTCTATTGTCAATATAAACAATCCTATCCAAATCATCCTTTTTGCCTCCTTAACATCCCCAAATTCATCATTTTTCCATACCTTCAACTTATGCTTAGTAAAATCTAATTTTTTAATGAACTTGTAACCTTCCTATCCTTGGACACCATCCTCCGACCACCACTCTCTAAGCTTATCCCTAAAACCTTTATGATTTACCCACATATTTTCAAATCTGAATGGACAAGGATCCCATTTCACCTTAGAATCATCAACAATAATTGGACAATTATCCAAAACAACTCTAGTCAAAGCCATTTGTCTAGTCCATGTAAAACAATCCTCCCATCCACCCGAATACAAAAACCTATCCAATCTTTTACAAACCACCCCACTTCAAAAATTGGACCATGTGAACATCCCATTTACCATTGGAGGATCTCTAAGTTCCGACTCCCTAATAAACAAATCAAAATCCCTCATACTTTTTGTCACCTTTCTTCCATTTAATTTCTCCCCATAATACCTAATGACATTGAAATCCCCCCCTAACACTCCATCTAGGACTACGCACCCCTACCAACCCCACTAACTCGTCCCTTAATATCATTCTACATCTAGGTTTATTAGGTCCAAATACTCTAGTCAACCACCACTCATTCTCGTTCGTATGTCTTATTTTCACCGAAATTGTAAATTCACCCTCAATTGAAATCTCCACCACAACCACCATTGCATCCCAAATAATGACAATCCCACCCCCTCTCCCTTCATAAGGAATAAACACCAAACTAAACCTTGACCCTTATACACTTTTCATTATTCGTCTATCAATGTCTTCCAACTTTGACTCATGTATAATGACAATATCAGGCCCTACATTCTTTAGAAAATCATTAATGACAATTATTTTCCTCCAAGACCCTAGCCTTCTAATATTTGAACTAACAATCTTCATAACAAACTAATACTTCCTCCCCTACCCGTCTAAGGCTCCCTCCATCATAATTAGTCCATGATCATAAATTTTTTAACTCTTTAAATCCTTTTTTTTTCCTTACACTCCTCCCATCTCCCTTTTTTATTTTTCTTCTTTCTCTGCACTAGGGACAATTCAATTTTTTCAAGAAACACTTTATAATAACCCATTTCTCTTCATCAAATACAAAATCATCAAAATATTCAGAGTTCCATATTCTCTCTCTGAGTCACCCCACTTCTACCTCACTCATAACAAACAATGGCTCTAGAGGACACAACTGTGGATTTTCCAGGATCAAGATTAATTGTAGGTATTCTATTATTAGACCTAAAAAATGGTTCACTGTGACTAATGTGTTTTTCCCCTACAAGGACAAAACTTGACACCCTATTTGAGTCCATAGAATCCACTTGATCAGAAGTAGCCCATCCCTCCTAGACAAAGTCAATTCACCAACTATACCTTCTACCTCCATATTCCCAATATTATCCACTCTCCCCAAATGAGACCCAAACATTGGAGAATAAATTAACCCAAGACCATCGTCTCCCTCCCCTAGAAGAGACCAAAATAGCCTAAAATAGAACCTTCCCACCAACAGTATTCCCTTCTCCCCTCAGAAGACGCCAAAGCACAAGAAGAAGGATTGCATCTTTTTGGAAGTGAAGTGGATTTGGGCTTACCATATTCTAGCAAGTTGCAGATAGGGGTGCGTACAATCATCTCATTAGCTCAGTCATCCTTCTGGCGTGTTTCTCCCATGTTTTCCCCACCTCATTCATTTAAACTCAATCCTCAGTCAAACAACTTAGCCAATTCACACAAAATTCCATCAGATTGACCTCCATGCCCTTCACCAATATCGCAATGGAGTAGCAAGTTAGTAGGGCTACTTTTGTTGTCCCCACTTTGATCCAATGCTAGATGACCTTCACCACATGCTTCCCAAACCTCCAACATCATAATTCGATCTTCAATTTCATATCTTTTGTGTCATTTCTTCTCCCATCAACTATAGCCATATCTTTTTTGAACATCTCTGTAAGCTCGGCTAATTCATTGCGTCCCTCGACAATCGTAATAAAATAACACTTAGGAAGAATGAGAAGATTGTCTACTTCATTATCCCCTTTGAAGCTCCATTTGCCTTGCCCATTTTCATCTATTTTCTTCCCCTCTTCTCTATGTAAAACTGACCTAGTCAAAGACGATGCCCTAGTTGAAGAGGAGGACATGTAAACTTTGTTTTCCCGTTTGTTGAACATGGGCCTTATCATTAAAAAACTCAAGGCCCAGCCCACAACCCACTTTTCATTAATTTTTTAGCAATGTGCACAATCACAAGTCCTTAATAAAATCATTTTTCAATTAGTTACAAAACTTAGTTAAGAGCAATATTGATCATATAGAGAACCTTCTACCTCCATATTCCCAATATTATCCACTCTCCCCAAATGAGACCCAAACATTGGAGAATAAATTAACCCAAGACCATCGTCTCCCTCCCCTAGAAGAGACCAAAATAGCCTAAAATAGAACATTCCCAACAACAGTATTCCCTTCTCCCCTCAGAAGACACCAAAGCACGAGAAGAAGGATTGCTTCTTTTTGGAAGTGAAGTGGATTTGGGCTTACCATATTCTAGCAAGTTGCAGATAGGGATGCGTACAATCATCTCATTAGCTCAATCATCCTTCTGGTGTGTTTCTCCCATGTTTTCCCCACCTCGTTTATCTGAACTCAATCCTCAGTCAAACAACTTAGCCAATTCACACAAAATTCCACCAGATTGACCTCCAAGCCCTTCACCAATATCATAATGGAGTAGCAAGTTAGTAGGGCTACTTTTGTTGTCCCCACTTTGATCGAGTGCTAGATGACCATCACCACATGCTTCCCAAACCTCCAACATCATCATTCGATCTTCAATGTCATATCTTTTGTGTCATTTCTTCTCCCATCAACTATAGCCATATCTTTTCTGAACATCTCTATAAGCTCGGCTAATTCATTGCATCCCTCGACAATCGTAATAAAATAACTCTTAGGCAGAAAGAGAAGATTGTCTACTTCATTATCCCCTTTGAAGCTCCATTTGCTTTGCCCATTTTCATCTATTTTCTTCCCCTCTTCTCTATGTAAAACTGACCTAGTCAAAGACGATGCCCTAGTCGAAGAGGAAGACATGGAAACTTTGCTTCCCGTTTGTTGAACATAGGCCTTATAATTAAAAAAATCAAGGCCCAGCCCACAACCCACTTTTCATTAATTTTTTAGCAATGTGCACAATCACAAGTCCTTAATAAAATCATTTTTCAATTAGTTACAAAACTTAGTTAAGAGCAATATCGATCATATAGAGAAATTCTCTATTCGAAATAGCTTGAAATCTTTTTTGTTACAACCTTTTATCTTTTATATATAATCATATTTTATTGGATTATAGACTATTAATACTAAAAAAATGGTAAATAAAAACTAAAAATTCTTCCTAAAAAATAGCAAACATTGTGTTTGATAAAGAAAAATATTGTCTTTTGGTCAATATACAAATAGATTAGAATAGTTACATCTGATGTACTCAATTCAAAAATAAAATATTTATTTTAGAGGGTTAGTGTACCACTAATTTATTGAAAAAAGAAAAGACTAAAATCTTTATTGAAATTTTCAAAAATTTATGTGGGGAAAATAGAATGTATTAAGTAACTTCTTGGGTCCTCATCAAACGTGGTTCAAAAGTGGGGGGGAGGGGGAGTGCCCACCCTTGTCCCCCTGTGGCTCTTCCCTTGTAACCATACAACACCATAACCAAAGCTAAACTATGGTTAAAAAACAATGAGTGTCCTTACTAATAGCAAGTAATAAATGAGATACTAAACAACCTAACTTAGAAATGAAAAGAAATAACTGCATTTCAGAACCAAAAGCTTAACACAAACTTGCCAGAAGATGAAATTAGTTTTCATAGCTTGAGCAACAACTTCATTTGCCCAAGTGTCATGTTAAGCTTCACGAGCAACATATATAATAACCATAAGTGAGCCACGACTCCAAAAAGAAAGCAATACATTGGAACAAAAATTCTAATAATCATTGACAGCGCGTATGTATTGAATACAAAAAAAATTTCTTTAAAACCCTACAATGCAAAATTAGGGATTACCTTCGAGATCACTCTGGATTGATCTCGTCTCAGCACAAACGTAAAAACTTAAGACAGACATAGAAAGCAACTCGATAAACCTCACGGTCTTTTTTCGTATAACCCCTAATGCCAAAAATTCGGATGTAGTGTGGGTTGCAAGGACCTCCGAACTTCTACTCTCTCTCTTAGCCTCTCTAAAAAATGTGAATAATGAATTGATGCTGATTTAGAGAGCCCATATTTCTATATATAAGCTATGAAAAAAATTCTAGGGAGAAATAAGGACCGGGATTCCAATGGGCATAGGATTCCTACGTTCAACCCAGAACAAACATTCTATAGCCCATTAATAACAAGTTAGTCCACTAAAAATTTATTATTAATCTCCTGAGCCTTAACTCAAAATTATATTTGAGCTCTTTATTATTATATGCTTAATAATATCCCCAAATTTAAGATTACAGATGTCCATCAATTAAATAAATTACTAACAATACCTTACCACTCAACTTATTTGTCATGTCAAATAATTAAATCCACTTGTAAGTTTTGGTATGAACAAAACTTATGAACTCCTTAAGAGGACATCATCAACTCATTTAAATATCATGACGTAGTTTCCTTTAATAATTAATTTCCACCATATAAATAGCATCATCTCCCAATTCACCGATTTTATTGAATCAATATGAATCTCACTCTTTGATGAATTAAAATGACAATCATTATATGCACGTGGCAATTAAATATCTCGGGATTAAAAGCATAAGCAACCATAATAATTATTAGGTATTTATTATCTTATTGAATTAATAAAAGATAATAACCTCAACATAGGTCTGTTCAATACACAAAGTGTACTAGCGTAATAATCTGAGATATCAAACAGTCTCCTACAGTCAAGACATACTATACTAGAATATTACACTACAATCATAGTGTTGGTGTGTCCAATTCCATCTAGGATTGTGAACATATATTCCATCTAGCCATTTGTCTTGGACGTTAGTAGAATCTTTGCCTGCATTATATGTACTGCAGGTTAAGTAAGAAATGCAACATATCAGCAAACAAGATATGCGCAATTCATCCATTGCAAGCATGGTATCATAACTTTCCTCCCAAATTTGTTGAAAAATCAATTTTAAGTTTTCCTCTTTTTTGTGCATTCACAACAATCAAGTGTTTAGGTCCTACATGTCTCTATGCTCCGCGGTGTTTCAAGTCTCTATGCTCTGAAAGTACACTCCAGATCCTACACATATTAGGTGGATTGAGGTGTGTAGGTACAGATGGGACCTTCGAGGATGGACCAGTGTGTATCATGGATAACCGAGATTAGATTTTGCGTGGCAAGACTATGAGGCTAGTGAAGGTGTTGTGGCAGCCCCGTGGTATGGAGGAGGCGACATGGGAGCATGAGGAGACTATTCGCGCTACTTATCTGTTCCTATTTGAGGATGGAGGTACATTTTTTGTAGTTATAGAGTAGTACATGACTTGATGCACATGTATTTTGTTATATGTGCATGTGTGTGTAATTTTGGGGACGAAATTCCTTTTAGGGGGAAGAATGTAAAACTTAATTAAAAAGGGAAAAATAGTAATTAGGAGTTACAATACGTGTTGAAAGCCCAAAATTTTTTTGAACTCAGATGACGAAATGGATCTCACTGTTAGATTCGTGCTGCGAAATCTGGCTACTCAGTCAATTTTTGTTAAACTCCGAGATAGTTGAATTTTTTACGTTTTACGATGCGATCAAAAGTCACGCGGCTAAAATAAACACGATCAAATTTTATATGTGGATCCCAAGAAATAATTTAAATTTAGTCCAATAAAAATTTACTGAACTTAACGCAAGACGAGATTTAATTGATTCAGAATAAAATTAGATCAATTAAAGTGGGACATATGGTGCATTGTGAGCCAGCAGCATAAAGGGAGTATTTAAAGGGGAAAATTTTAGATTTTCCCCCATTCTTTGGCCTGCAATTTCTGATATAAAGAGAGAGAGAGAGCGAGGGAAAGAAGAAGTTCTTTAAGCTTATTCATCTTATTTCTCTAATCTACGAACCGTTGGATTGCTTCGAGCCAAGAGTTAAAGTTGTTCTACGCAACCATAATAAAGATCGTGTTTTCTCCAAAATCTCAAAGAAGAAAATTTAGATCAAAAGCTTGGAATGCTTGATTTGGGGTTCTTGGGACTTCTACTATGTGGGCTTACGCTACAAGAGATAGGGCGCTTTCCTATCTAGGTTTATTTTCAACCTAGGGTTATGATATTAAATGGGTAGGATTATAGAGATGAATTCTCACGTATTAGCTCACTCCTAGTATATCTAGGATGTAGAAAATGGGTATGGGAATGTGTTAAAACCATTTCTTATTTAATTTGGACTTGATAAAATTGTGACACCCCAACAATCGGGGGTCCTTAATTTAACAAAATTTTGGTAGAATCTCCTTTGTACGGGGAGCTCTACCCAAAACACAACCTGTGCAATTATACTACATTGACCACACCGGGTCCATTTATGAATAAATATTGACCACACTGGGTCCATTTATAAGTGAACATTAAAACAATCCATATGAGTTCGATTTGTAATGCCCCAAAATCCACCTTGGACGACATTACTATCTAAATCCATTCACATCATGAGAGCACTAAATAAATCCATCAAATAATAAAATTTCATTCACCATATGTAATATCCACAATATCATCCCAAAAGAATAGGCCAAGTTATGACAATTACATTCCAAAAGAATTACATTTAAACTTAGCAGCGAAATAAACAAAATACTAGACTATACATGATCAAAAATAAATTCCCTAGTCTAGTACAAAAAATAAACTATAGCTTTAGACGTCCACCTAGGGATCTAGGTTTTCCTCTGGTGGAGCCTCCCAATTTCCCGGCTCGTCAACTCCAGGATCTTCCTCTAGCACAAAGTTTGAAAAAAAAAATATTATTGGTAGGGGGTGAGCACTAAGCTCTGTAGAAAAATCCTCCCAAACTCTAACAAGGTTTGGAAGACGTAGAAAATGGTCGGTCTCATTTCACAAATAGCATACGTAAATTTTGAAAGAAAACATGATATTTTTAAAAATATC